CCCCCCCCCCCCCAATTTGCTTTTTTATTGCAGATTCCGGGTCCTCTAGTGCAGCGCAGCACAGCCCTACCTTCGGGGGAAAAAAAATAAAATAAAATTCCTTGCCATGTTTTTGCGTCGCCCGGTTCAGGCGGGCGGACCCCCCCGGCCCGCCGGCCCAGCCTAGCTTAAGAGCCAGGGAGTCACACGAGCCACTCGCAAAATTTAAATAAGCTCCCAGCAGTCTCAGCAAAACCAACAGAATCAACTTAAGCGCCAGGGAGTCACACGAGCCACTCGCAAAATTTAAATAAGCTCCCCTCCCACTCGGTGCAGCATCACGCTCACGTTGATGGTAATGGAGCCTGCACAGCATGGGGGAAGCAAGGGAACTCAGGATAGAGGTAACAAGACACTTGGGCCAGCACTGGGGGCCTATTTACCAAGCACTTCTCAGCAATTGGGTAAGGAATGGAAGATGGTAGAATCCAAATCAAGAGGGAACATGCAAGAGTTTCAGAAGGAAAACAGAGAGCAAGAGGTACAAGCAGCACAATCTGCACAAAATGAACAGGAGACTCAATTAGCACTGGTTGCGCAGGCATCACAGGCTTCGCAGGCAGCACAAATTACCAGCACAACACGAGGAGCAAGTTGATCAGGTTGTACATAATGTGACACAGGCAGAGGTTGCACAGGCGGCAATGCAAACACCGCAGGCAGCAACACAAACATCACAAACACCACAGACAAACTACTCAACGCTGCCACGATATCTCCAACCCCACCTCCGATGCCACCACCGCCACCTCTCCTGACTCCAAAAACACCGCAAAAACCGCCCCCACTACCAACACCTCAGAGTCGTCAGGAATTTTCTCAGAATGGCCCCCTCCAGACTGACCAGCAGATTGCCGCCCAGACAATGCAGCTAGCACTGTACTCTCCACAGCAGATATGGTCACACAACACCTCCCCCTCTGACCAACTACTGCAGATCGACCAGCCCCCCACCATGCAGCTTACCCTGACACCTACCGCATTTCGGACACCAATGGAATTTGCGTCCATGGAGATTGACCTGCTTCAGGAAGCCTTCACGATGGAGCAAATGGAGGTGGAGCAGGCTCCCGTCCGTGTTGTTTCTCTCGAGGAAATGAGGGGAAAATGGGACAGCCAAGATTCACTGGTGTGCCTGAACAAGGGCATATGGAAGGTTACAGACTGGTTGCTTTGCAATCTCTTTTAAAAACCCCACAGTCACCAACAGTCCCCTGGGATGAGACCAGGGAACATATCAGATCCATGCTGGCCTGCAGTGAGAGCCTGAAAGAAGCTCTGCAGTATGGCCTCCCATCTGAAGAGCAGTGGGTGCAGGCCAGCAACTGAATACTTCATATTATCTCAAATGCAGTCCATAGTAGCCAGTTGTCTGAAATCATCACCTCCCCTTAGCCATTACAGGATGATGAAGACAAGGAAATGCAGGCGGACAAATTTTATTCGAAGCCTATCCTTACAAGTGCGAGGCTCAAGGCCTCGATCTGCCCTACTGGGCCCTATTTTCTGTGCGGTCGGCCGCCCTAAGTGAAGGCAGGCTCGACCCAGGGTAGGCAGGCTCGACCCAGGGCCTACAGGCCTAATTTTGCGGTCATCACACAACTGGGTAAATTCAGGCAGTTGCGTAGCGCCAGTTGGTTGAGAGCGCCCAGGCCCAGGCTGCCTCTTTCGAATGTAACTGAGGCAGGCCCTGGGCCAGATTCGCAACATGGACCGAACGCAGGCCACGTGCAGTTGGACAGGGGCAACCACCACAGGCCCAGGGCCTGTTTCGTTTGGACTGGGGCTCAGCCTCTCTGGGCCTACCGGAAGCTTCTGGGCAGGGACCCAGCGCATCCAGGCTGCATGGAAGGCAGGCAGGCCACTTCCATTTAGGAAAGTGCGCCTGCCCACGCATTCGGCATTCGGGCACTGGCTGCATGCTGCGGAAGCGCTGCTGCGCTAACGCTGGCCAGCGCTCACGCGCTCACGGGCGAGCTGGAAGGAGCAGGCAGCCATAGCCGAGCTGCGCTGCTGTACGCTGGATGGGGCGCATGGTTGTCTTTGGGTGCATGTGGCATCTGTGAGTTGGGGATCGAGGTTGTGAGTGATACGAGAGACATACCTGGTGCTTGAGGCGAACGGCATTGGCCAAGATCTGCTCGTACTTCGGGGAGCTGTTGACGTCATCAGCGACATTGTAGATAGGCTAGATAGGATCTGCCATTTGTAGCTGGGCGTCGAGCGCTAGATAGCTGAGATAGGATATCGACATTGGTTCTTCGTTGATGATGATGAGACTATTCCAGCATTGTCAATTATGAGCTTTTGCTGTGCTCTTATTTGGTGGAACTCGTGATGCAATTCTGCTATTGGTTCGAGGTCACGACTATCTGGTCTCATGTGTATGATGCTGTTTGATTTCTGAAATTCGCTATCACTCATTTTCCTTGCACAAGGGGGAGGAGAAGGTTAAACGAACTTGCACGAAAACGGAATTCCACTAGCATTGGCTTACAGACCAGGGCTGGGCCGGCAACCGGCCAGTCGAGCTGGCCCGGTCCAACCGGGGCCGGACCGGGCCAGGGGGGGTCAACTGGCAAACCGGATGACCCAAAAAAATGCCCAATTTTTAAAATTTTTTATTTTCCCCTTCGCGGGATCCGACTGCGCTTGCTGAGATCTGTCGGATTCCGCAATAAAACTTTGAATGTTGGACTTTTTTTTGTGTGGTGTGCCGGGAGGGGGGAGGGGGGGGGGTCGAGGTCGAGAGTGGTAAGGGGGGTGTTGCGTTCAGGGTTTGCAGGCCTGCAAACAACATCATGCATACAAAATGGAAGTGAAGCCAGACAATACTATGAGGTAGAAGATTGTGAAGAACGGAAGGGCAAAGAAAAAGAAGAAGAAGAAGAAGAACGGAAAGATGAGATTCATGACGGAAAATTAAATAAAGATGATGATCTGCAACAGTTTGTCATGTTCACGTTGGCTCTCTCTCTCTCTCTCATTTGGAATCCCCTTCGCTAATCTCGTCGTCCGGCGACTCTGCACCGTCGCCATCTGAGTCGGGGTCATCCTCCGAGACTTGCACTTTCCGGGGCCTTCCACAACCACATTCCGACTTTGGTGCAGCTTTGTGCCCCATCTTCTCCTTGCGGGGCCTCCCCCGGTGGCGACGTGGTGTGGGGACTTCATTCACCGGAGCCTTCCTCTTTCGCCCCGCCCTGCTTTTCCATATGTTGTCATGTTGGGCATCCTCATTCTGTGCTGGGTATGGGGGTCTGCCATAGTGGGCCTCTGCTCCTCTCACCGTTGATCCGAGTTTTTCTGGTTGCTCCGCAGCCACAGCCTGCTGGTCCTCCCGCGGCTCTTGCGGTGCAGGTTGCTGCAGTGGCGGTGGGCAGGGTCTTCGTGCGTAAACCGTTGGTGTTGGTGGTTGCTGCAGTTCCTCTCCGTTTTTCTTCTGAGTTTTTTCCGCATCCTCCTTCATATCACCCCCATTTTGCGGCACACTTTTTTCTCCTTCTTGCTGTACATTTTTTTCTGCGATTGCTTCAATATCCACTCCCGCATGCTGCAAACTCCCTTCATGTTCTGCATGCACGACAACCTCATCTACCTCCATGTTGTCCACACTTTCATCCTTTTCATCACTATGTTGCTCCTCATGTTGGCTGATCTGTTTGCTCTGTCTCTCTCTCTCCCTCCGTTTGGGGACAGCAGCACGACAAACCTCCTCCTCATACATCCGCCTCTGAACCAAGGCGACATCCCTATCTGCCATAGCCTTGGCCCGAGCAGCTTCCTCCTTGTCGGCATCAGGCGTAGGGTGCGCCAAGAACTCGATATCGCTGTCCAGTCTGTCGATGGCCTCGGAAGGCAGCACCTTTGCCTCCTTCTCTCGCCTCCTAAGCCTCCGACCGAGTACGTAGTGGCTGGCACCGCCAGCTTGCTCCCCAACTCGAAATCTGAGTCCTCCCCAATGTCATCCTCACCGTCACTCTCCTCGGAAGTCGACTCGTTCCAACACTTCCCCTTCCACACGAGATCCTCAAGATCGTTGTTCCCACTTGAGTCGTCATCCAGTAGGCTTTTTGGAATCCGGCCTTTTGGAGTCTTCTTTAGTCTCTTTTGCCTCTTTTCCTCCTCGATATTGTCTATTGTCTCATCCTCCGTGGGGTCCTCGACAGCTACATCTTCCGCTGTCGGCTCCATCAACGACTCAAAGAAAGATCCCCACACATCGACGTAGTCATTGTCCTTGCTATTTGGAACACGCAACAACTGCATGTTCCAGTGAATGTAAACCAATTTCTCCAAGGACTCTGGCAAGAGACTGTTTCTGCGCTTCGAATAGACAAAGTCCATCGATGCCCAGTTCCGCTCTGCGGGTGCCGCCGTGCTCCACATTCCCAACACGTTGATGGCGATTTTCTGCAACTGTGGAACATCCCCACCGTACAAGGTGCACCAGTCCGCAGGCGTACGTCGCGTTGCTTGCTTGATGGCAACTGGTGTCCACATATGTTCATCTGTCCCGACTTCCCCTTCTACAGGCTCTCTCAAAAACTGGTACAGATGATCCCACATGTCCATGTGCGACTTCCAATCCCACTCCACTCCGATCTGCCTGCAGAAGAAGCGCATTGCGTTTTGCACGAGGGTGCTGTCCGGATCGTTGAGCCAGCCTGGGTTTCTCCTCCGCGGATCCAACAAAAACGCAGTTGCATGAATGGGCTGCCGCATCATCTGCACGCGGTCCTTGACCTTGTCCATCACATCCTCCCTCTCCTTCTTCGTGAGTACGACGTTTGCTAATTTCCTCGCAATGAGATCGTCGAACTCCATGAGGTTGGTGGGAGAAACTCCTTCCCTGTCCATCCTCTTCAGGAGGTTGTACACCAGCTCCATAATTGCCACAATTTTCCTCACTATGGCAGCAAGTAGTATGACCCACCAACTCTCTGACCTCACAGTGTAGTAGACAAGGTCGGCTTTTTTCTGCAGCTTCTCTCCCGACCATCTCAATGCGCGCCACTTCGCTGCATAACCTCCGTCCACCATCTCATTCAACACTTCCACCCTGTCCGTTAGCCTCTGCAGCATCTGGTACACCGACCCGAACCGGACCTCTGTCGGGCGCAGCAATGACAACGAGTCATCGATGGACATCATGAGACCGTGCGTGGCGTGATGGTTCCTGATGCACTTCACGATCGTGTTCGCCGTCTTCACTKTGTCCTTCACYCAAGGMAAACTGCTRAGGTCCTTCAACAAMAGACTGCAGCAATGCGCTCCGCATGACACCCACGGTATCCTTGCAACGTCTCTGTCGGTCCGCCTCTCCAAGATCTGCACCGCCTTCTTGTTGACCTCAGCGTTGTCTGTGCGGATCGTGTTGATCCGTTTGAGCCCGATCTCCCGCATCACTTGCTCCCACAACTTCGCCAATGCTGCTGCGTTTTTCTTCCTCCCAGTCATGTAAACTGTGGTCACCAGAACTGCTCCTTTCTCCCCCGCTGCTAGGAAATTTATGACCGGCTGGTTCTTGCGATCTGTCGATCCGTCTGTGATGAATGTGCAGCCGGTTTTGTCCCAACAAGCAGTGAAGGGACTGATTGATTTCTCGACCTTCAGGAAGATGTAGTCCATCATGACAGTCCTCATATGCTTGTAGGTAGGCAACTTCACCTTCGGCTTTGCATTGGCAACCTCCAAGTAAGCGTCGTGAAGAGCCTGCGTGGTGTCGAGGTTCAAAAGTTGAAAGCAATTCCAGCCCTGAACATTGCTTCCGCTCACGCAATGTCCAACCTTTTTTGTGCGTCGTTGTCAATCCACTTTCTTATTGTGGTCTGCGTCTTTGCCAGCACAACACGGGCCGCCTCTCCGCCGGTGCCGTCATCACTCTTCACTGCAGCTTCGTCATCTGTTGTTGCGATCGGTGCAGCAAATTGTGGAACAGACCGCCCTCAAACAGGCGGAGGCACTGGCCAAGATGATGGATCGTCCGCATCTGATGCATCCTCCGGAGCCTCATCGCCCCCCTCTGCGCCCATGGCGAGTCCTTTGAAGTTTTGCCGCAAGTACCAGGTGTTCTTGTCTTTGGGGTTGACCTTGCCTCCCTGAGTAACAAGCTTATCCACAATCTCCCCCGTCCGAAAAGGACACGGTTTCTGCACTTTCAAGAAATGCTCCAATGCCTTTGTTGATGAACCCTTGAACACCTTGGAACAAAGGCGACACTTCAGCCAATACTCCCCACATCCTGTTGGGACTGCCTCCTGTCCCTGTTCGACCCACTTCCAGACTGCATTTTTCTGCAGCAGCTTCTTATGCTCGTTCTCGTCCTTAGCTTGAAAGAGATCAGGATCAGTGGCAGGTGTTGCTTCCTTGTTGATGGCCATCGTTGTTGACTGCGCTGACTTGCTTGACGAAGGCTTGTCGGAAACAGGCTGCACTTGCTCTTTCCCCTTGCCTGCATCGGTTCTGCCTAGCCTGTGTATCGTCCGCCCAGCCCCACCACTGCCATCACCCGCCATGATGTCTCCCGCAGTGATGTGGGAAAATAAAAAACCGGCTATGGCTAGTGGAGGAGGACGAGAAGAAGAGAAGGAGGAAGAAGAAGATGACGAAAAAGAGGGAGGAGAAGAGTAGGACGAGGAGGAAGAGGAAGAAAAAGAAGAAGTACGCAAGGAAGGTGAAGCAGCTTCGGGAAAAAAATTAAAAAATGGCTATGGCTAATGGAGAACGAGGAGAAGAAGAGGAGGAGGAGGAGGGAGAAGAAGAAGAAGATGACGAAGAAGAGGGGAGAGAAGAAGAGGAAAATGAGGAAGAGGACGGAGAAGAAGAAGAAGAAGAAGAAGAAGAAGAAGAACGCACGGG